AGATTCTTAGATTCTTAGATTCTTAGATTCTGTAGATTCTTAGATTCTTAGATTCTTAGATTCTTAGATTCTTAGATTCTTAGATTCTTAGATTCTTAGATTCTGAGATTCTTAGATTCTTAGATTCTTAGATTCTTAGATTCTTAGATTCTTAGATTCTTAGATTCTTAGATTCTTAGATTCTTAGATTCTTAGATTCTTAGATTCTTAGATTCTTAGATTCTTAGATTCTTAGATTCTTAGATTCTTAGATTCTTGAAGCTAGACTGTCTGCGTCTCTCTGAGAAGACGCAGACATTTAGAGTGTCTTGTTGTCTGCGTCTCTAGCCTCTTTAACTTCGGATAGCTATATCTCGGCTTCTAGTAGGGCTAGAAAACTGGTTTTTTTTGCTATAGACCGCGATTTCAAATCTAGTCGATTAATTGGAAAAATCATTCAACCCATAAAAATATACAAATCACAAAACTTTTTTCCCCCCATTCGCCAAACCGAATCAACCAAACACATACTACACCTGTCGGTTGATCTATCTCGACCCGCGAATGGCTATCAGAAGGGAAAACAAGAAAAAAGATATGACGTCATTTTTATCAATGATTTGTTGTTTTAGGCTATTGTTGACCACAAGAAAACTGTTCTAGAACTTTCTAGTTTGTTGCATGTTTTTTTGGCTTTTTGGGTTCCAAAGCCTACGAAACTCGTCCAAAATGTTTCAATTTGTTTGAAAATTTCAGAGAATACTAAACAAAACTGGAGCTTCATTTTTGTAATTGACAACTTTTTTGTGAAATTTGAGCCTGAAGATATATGCCGCGTGGAAGTGCGGCACCCAATGCTTTGATACCAAGCTCACTGTTTCTAAGTCACTAAGTCACTAGTTCTGCCCCTAGAGAAAACAATCGAATCTAAATAAATTTTATGTGAATTTGTGAAGCTTGTCTAGCTTTACATTTTGCAATTTAGATCGTTTGAAAATATTGATTTTGAAGCAAGTTATGAGCCGCCTTCATGGAAATGCGGCACCTATAGGAGGGTGACCGGCGTCCACGTGGCGTATCTCGTTAGAGCGCGTTTGCACCAAAAAGTTGTCAACTACAAAAATGAAGCTCTAATTTTGTTTAGTATACTCTGAAATTTTTATAAGGATCGGACAACTTTCAAGGATATTTTCCGAGGCCTTAAAACTGGCGGGTTTCAAATAATTTTTCTGAAAATAAGTTTTCAAAAAGCTTCCTCAAAAGCGTCTTTCAGATTTTAGATTCTAGAATTCTGGTCCATCTGTGCATCCAGATGTCCAATATGATGACCCACCGTCCACTCACGTCGTTGGCGGCGGCACGTATTCAGTTGTAGTCGTCGCTTCGGTAGTCGTCGGTCGATACTCGACGAGCTCCCAAAATCGGGTCGGTTGGGAGCTGTTCCACACTTGATCCTGGTTTTCGCGATAGAGAACCTGAAATCCTTAAAATTCTCTCCTAACAATTTCTTATCAATTTGTATAATTTTCATAAAAATTGATCCAAATTGCTCCAAAAAATCATACTCTCTAATTTCAAGCTCAATTATCTCAGCTCCTGTAAAAGATATCAAAAAGTAATCAACTGATAAAATGATAAGCATAAAATGACACATGTTTTGTCAGTTTACCGTTTTTGGATAACTGTTATAGGAACCGAGAAAATTGGGTTCAAAGAATCAACACTTCTGTGAAGCTAGGTTACAGAAGTGCTTCTAACTTTAAGTCGATTTATCTCGTTTTCTGTAAAAGATATCAAAAAGTAATCAACGGACAAAAGATTAATCATAATATCCTCAACATTTTATCAGTTGACAACTTCTTGATACCTTTTATAGCAACAGAGATAATTAAGCTGAAAAATTGAAGTCTCCATTTCGGCTAGCCAAAAAATCATACTCTTCCATTTCAGGTTCAATTTAACTTGGTTTCTATGAGAGATATCAAAAAGTGGTCAACTGTTAAAATGTTTAGCATGATCTCACAAAAATTTTATCAGTTGAACACTTTTTGATATCTTTCATAAAAACCGAGATAAATCGAATCAAAGTTGGATGGGGGATCTTCTGCTGTTTCACGAATGTCAATGCTCTTTGAGCTCAATTATCTCGATTACTGTAGCAGCCACTTAACAATGCCCAACTAAAAAAATGTTTGTTATTTTATGCTAATTACCACAGCTACCTGTTTTCCTCAAAATCAGATTTTTTGATTTACTTTCAAAGTAAAAATCAAACTTTGATCTTTTTATCAGTCAGTTTTTTCAACACGCGGTTAATGACACGGAAGTCATATGATTCAGATCGAGGTGAGTAGTGAAACCAATTAAATTAGAAAAGAAAAACTGGGCTGATTGTTTTTGCAAAAGAAGACGTTGTTGGAAGAAGGATAACAGATGGGTTACTGTAGTAACATTGGTTTATTTTGAGAGATAAGGAATGTAGTCTAGCTTCCAACTTTCAGGTTCTACAAAACTACTTCAAATATTTTCGATTTTTCTGAAACTGTCAGAGTATACTAAACAAAACAAGAGCTTCATTTTTGCAGTCGACAACTTTTTGGTACAAGTACGCTCTAGCGAGATATGTCACGTTCCTTCTTTATGCGGCAACGGCGGCCGGCGCCGAGGAGGGGTCCAATTGACGGCTCATAACTCGCTTCGAAATCAACATTTCGCAAAAATTAAAATTGCAAAATGTAGAATTTAAAAAGCGCTACACATTGATATAAGTTTTACTACTTTGTCATTTTTAGAAAATTTCCCTGAAGCGGTGAACAGCATCTGACCCCAAAACAGGCCCACGCAGGTGATGGCTCATCAAATGGCTTATATCTTGCTTCAAAATCAAAATGTTTGTATGAATCAAATATGAAAATGGAGGACTTGAAATGCGCTACAAATCGATATAAAATTCAAATAGTTTTGAGTTGTAGCCTGGAGAACCGAAATAAAAACCGCCTTATGATCGCCCGCTCAGTATGGTTACTTTTGTGTGGCATGCTGTTCAGGAAAACTTGCTTTTAGTAACAAAATTTATATCAATTTGTAGCGCTTTTGAAGTTCTACATTTCACTTCCTGAACCATCCGAAAATATAAACTTTGAAGCGAGACATAAGCCAATAACCATCCTTCTTGAAAACTTTGCCAATTCCAAGGGAGATGGTTCTCAAAATCGGTCTTAACTTTTTTCAAGCTCAATATTTTTGACAAATTCAAATTGCAAAATGTAGGCCTTGAGAAGTTCTACAAAATCATATAAAATTCATCTGTCTTCACTCAGAACGTCAGTGCTAGGCTCGCGGTCCTTGTACGTCGTTTGCTCCCCGAAGCAAGGTGCGTCCCTACTAGGGCGGCTTAAAGGTGGCATATCTCCCTAGGCTTGAGGTTTACAAAAAAGTTGTCAACTACAAAAAGAAAGCTTGAATTTCGTTTAGTATATTCTGAAAGTTTCAGACAAATCAAAAAATTGTGAAGTACTTTTATAGGGACCTGAATGCTATGTTATGCAAAATAAAACACTTTATGAACTTAAAAAGAAGCAATTTAGACAGAAATTGATGTTAGATGAAGCGTTATCTGAAAATCTGAAACTGTTGCTTTGATCTCTCGGTCCCAAAAGTAATACATTATTTTTCTTCGCCCCATCAGTGATGGAGGCCATCACCATCATCATTTTCGTTTCTTGAAAATGGGGACCACTTAGGAAAGAAGACGACTAGTATCCAACAAAACACAAATTGATGCCAATTGTTCGGAAGATACTGAAGAAGAGCCATTTGATGATGACAAGCAGTGTCTCTGTGTCCCATCCGTCAGAACAATGGGCGCAAAAATATAGATTCTTGCAGGAAGCACCTGTTCAGTTAGGGCGGAAAACGCGCTCCAAAGAGAAGAAACTTTGAGCTAGTTTATCTCGGTTCTTTTGAGAGACATCAAAAAGTGGTCAATTGATAAAATGATAAACAAAATATAACACAGATTTTTTTAGTTCACCATCTTTAAATAGCTGTGATAGGAACTGAGATAATTGAACTCAAAGAACTAACACTTCTGTGAAGCTAGGTAACAGTAGAGATCCCAGCTTTGAGCTAATGTACCTCGATTCCTATTAGCGATATCAAAAAGTGGCTAACTAAGAAAATGTAGCTGATAATATGATAAATGTTTTATCAGTTGACACTTTTATGATAGCTTTCACAGAACATGAGATAATTGAGCTCAAAGAAGCAACACTTCTGTGAAGCTAGTTAACAGAAGAGCTCCTAACTTTGAGCTTATGTATCTCGATTCCAAAAAGAGGTATCAAAAAGTGGTGAACTACGAAAATGTAGCTGATACTATGGGAATTATTTTATCAATTGACAATTTTTTGGTATCTTTTACAGGGACCGAGATAAATTTGGTTTAAGATTGAAAAGAAAAATTTTGAAATGACTTTTTTTTTAATTTCAGGACAATTTGTGCAAATCTGTGAAAAAAAAGCTGAAAAAAAAGGATTATTACATTTAACAAGAACCAAAACTTTATTATTAGTGTGCAAAACTTTATTTTGAAAAAAATGGGCGGAGCCTGAATTTTTTTTAGAACTTTGAAAATTTGGATTTTTCGAGTTTTCAGAATTTCTGGAAATTTCGAAATTTAGGGTTTCATATTTTCAAATTTCGAGGAAATACCAAAACTTTGGGATTTATGAAATTTCTTAATTTAGAAATTTCAAATTTCGAAATTTCAAGAAAATCGAATGTTTCGGATTTTTGAAATTTCTGAATTTCTGAATTTTTGAATTCCTGAATTTCTGAATTTCTGAATTTCTGAATTTCTGAATTTCTGAATTTCTGAATTTCTGAATTTCTGAATTTCTGAATTTCTGAATTTCTGAATTTCCGAATTTCTGAATTTCTGAATTTCTGAATTTCTGAATTTCTGAATTTCTGAATTTCTGAATTTCTGAATTTCTGAATTTCTGAATTTCTGAATTTCTGAATTTCTGAATTTCTGAATTTCTGAATTTCTGAATTTCTGAATTTTTGAATTCCTGACTTTCTGAATTTTTGAATTCCTGAATTTCTGAATTTCTGAATTTCTGAATTTCTGAATTTCTGAATTTCTGAATTTCTGAATTTCCGAATTTCTGAATTTCTGAATTTCTGAATTTCTGAATTTCTGAATTTCTGAATTTCTGAATTTCCGAATTTCTGAATTTCTGAATTTCTGAATTTCTGAATTTCTGAATTTTTGAATTTTTGAATGTCCAGAAGTTTGTATTTTCCATAGAAAACTTTTAAAAGAAAAAAGTAATTCCTCCCCTCCAATTATCTCTTTTTCCCAGACATTTTTCATCCAATTATATTCATTTTAAAACCTTTAATTACTCTTAATTACCCCCCTAGACAAACATTTTCATTTCCAAACCCAATTTTATTAGTTTTAATCATATTAGACATACTCTGACAAACACGGAAAAAAGACACATACGTAATCAAAATTGCCTCCCCCTCCCCTCTTCTGCCCTCTTCAAATACACTATATCATCACAAAAAAGGGGAGCAAGAAGAGCAGAAAAAGAAGAAGAAGAAGAAGAAGAAAAATTGGTTTGCGCTGATTACCTGAAATTGCGCCGGACCGGGCAGCACACGATGGAGCATCAGAAGAAGCGAGAGAGCGAGAGACGCAGACATCTAGGCGAGGGTATATGGGGAAGTGTATGGGGGGAGAAGGAAGAAAAAGAAGAAGAAGAAGGAGAAGAGATGGGCGGTGCATATAGATGACGATGACTTGGGGGGCAGGCGCGGTTCGAAGAAGAAGAGAGACACGAGGGAGAAAGAGACACTAGAGATAGAGAGACGGGGAAGAATAGGAAAAGAGAAAAAGCTTTCGGGAGGGGTGCTAGAAGGGACATACACATACACACATAGCACACACACACACACAACCAGGCTCGGAGCACACAGCCAACAGCAGTTTTGTGGCAATGAGATGGTGCTGCGGTGGGTCGTATTCTGAAAATGGATCGGGCGGATCGAGGAACACCCAACAACAGCCGACACCTTTGCTGACAACGGCGGGGACGGCTGCACAGGTGTCCACCACACACGACACTTTTGGACCCATGCAGGTGAAGATGCACAAGACGGTGAGTTTTTTTTTCTATTATGATTGTTTATTAATAATCTTCTAGAGGGAGATTCTAGACTCGAGATTTTTGGAACCCTCCCCCCTTTTTGATCAATTCCGAAATCGGGGGTTTGAACCTAATTTAGCTTGACGGCTCGTATCTCCCTTCAAAATCAATATTTTTGAATAAACTAAAATTTTAAATATAGAACTTAAAAAGCGCTACAATTTGATATTAAATGCATTATATTTTCTGCTACCTCAGCTTCTCAGCAACCACCAAAGTTTACAGCGAGGGACGAAATCGAGTCGCTCATTCAATAACGCATATCTCCCTTAAAAATCAATATTTTAGAACAAACTACAATTTGAAATATAGAAGTTAAAAAGCGCTACAAAATGATAGATTATTTGACGATACCGACTTTTTGAATTGTTCCGAAATTCGGGGTTTGAGCCAAGTTAGGAGGGTTCGAACTTGATAACTCATTTGATGGCACATATCTCCCTTTAAAATCAATATTTTTGAATAAACCAAAATTTGAAACATAGAACTTAAAAAGGGCTACAAATTGATATTAAATTCTTTTGTATTTTTTGCTACCTCAGCTTCTCAGCATCCATCAAAATTTATAGCATACGAGGGACGAAATCGAGTCGCTCATTCAACAACGCCTAACTCTTTTCAAAATTGATATTTTCAAATAAATTAAAATAGAAAATGTAGAACTTAAAAAATTCTACAAGTCGATATAAAACTCAAATAGTTTTTATATTCAGCCAGTTGAATGGGAAGCGTTAATCTTTAGAGCCCCGACGCGTAGCATAAAAGTGACCAACGCGGGTGGTCGTTCATAAAATAGCTTATATCCTGCTTCAAAATCAATATATTTCAATAAATTAAGATGTAAAATGTAGAATTTAAAAAGTTCTATAAAATGATATAAAATTCAATTTCACTGGAATTTCAAATTCAGAACCATGAGATCATGAAGGAGCCAACGCTAACCTAGGCGATTTTGGCGCCCTGCCTTTTTGACGGTCTCTAGCTCAATAGTTGGGTTGTAAGTACTATAAATTTTATATAACTTTGTAGAACGTTTTAAGGTCTACATTTCACTTTCTGATTTGTTCAAAAATTTTAAGTTTGAAGAAAGTTATGCGTCCGACAAGTATGACAAGCTGAGATTCCTCCCTTTTAGTCGTCTTGTTGTTTTGATTTTAAAAAACAAAAAAATGTTAAAGTCAATACCATTTTATAGAGCTTAACAATGATTACAGTAGTCATTTTAAATATTTCAGAAAACGTTGAAATTTGAGGCCTCTTGAAAAATCAGAAAAATCAAACTCGTGGGAAAAATATTAAAGGCGCCACTCCGCTGAGCTTTGAGGGCGCACCAACTTCAACACTGTCTATCTCGGTTGTCATGAAAGATATCAAAAAGTGGTCAACTGATAAAATAATTAACAGACATTTTGTTAATTAATCATTTTTTGATAACTCTTACAAGAACTGAGATAAGCTAACTCAAACGTAAGGTAATCGATTTTTCTCTTGTTGACCTCACTACAGATCCCATAAATTTTTAGTCGATTTATCATTGTTCCTTTAAAAGATAATTAAAAAAGGCCAATTAATAAAAAGTTTTATAATATCACCGACATTTTATCAGTTGGCACTTTTTTGATATCTCTTACAGTAACCGAGATAATTGAGCTCAAAGAGCAGAAGCCTCAGCTTGTGACAGGTTGGCGTCGGAAGTTGACTCCATTTATGTCAGTTCCTGTAAGAGATATCAAAAAGTGATAAACTGTTAAAATGTTTATCATATTATCACAAGTATTTTGTTAGTTGACATTTTCCCGGTATCTTTTACAGGAATTGAGATATCGATTTAAAAAAAATTGTTTGTATACATCAAACAAAGTCTGTATATATTTGTCTGAAACTTGAGATTTTCGCCTATAAACTTCTTCAGTAAAAAATTTTGGGCAATTTTCTTTTCCCAAAACAATAGTCTCCTTCTTTTTTTTCCTTCACCATTCGTTGCTTTTTTTTCATTTTCAGTCCCATCCTCTTCTCTTTTTTCTGCTCGTGTTCTCACAACAAATTTATTGCAAAACAAAAAAAAAGAGAGAACTGCAAAATCCACTTTTTTCAAGCTTTTTGCTGTTTCTGCTGAAGTTTCCCAGGACTACAAAATTTTCGAAAACATATATTGACAAAAAATTGAATAAAACATTTTTTTTGTGATGTATGCAAAAATGATGGGAAACAAATCTTTGGAGGAGAAGAAGGGACTGAAAAAATGTCTTACTTGTCGGACGCATAACTTTCTTCAAATTTAAAATTTTAAAACAAATAAAAATTCAAAATGTAGAACTTGACAAGATCTACAAAATGATATAAAGTTCTATAATATTCATAGGCCCAGTAATAAGCCGGAGACTGTCAAAAAAGCAAGGCGCCAAAATCGCCTAGTTGGCTCCTTCATGATCTCATGGTTCTGAATTTGAAATTCCAGTGAAATTGAATTTTATATCATTTTATAGAACTTTTTAAATTCTACATTTTACATCTTGATTTATTGAAATATATTGATTTTGAAGCAGGATATAAGCTATTTTATGAACGACCACCCGCGTTGGTCACTTTTATGCTACGCGTCGGGGCTCTAAAGATTAACGCTTCCCATTCAACTGGCTGAATATAAAAACTATTTGAGTTTTATATCGACTTGTAGAATTTTTTAAGTTCTACATTTTCTATTTTAATTTATTTGAAAATATCAATTTTGAAGAGAGTTATGCGTTGTTGAATGAGGTACCCCTTTCTGTGCCGCATGCTGTCAACTAAAGTGAATGCTGAGAAATTGGGATGGCAAAAAGCATAATTAAATAAAATACCATTTTGTAGCGCTTGTTAAGTTCTATGTTTCAAATTTTGGTTTATTCAAAAATATTGATTTTAAAGGGAGATATGGGCTGTCAATTGAGTTATTAAGTTCGAACCCTCCTAACTTGGCTCAAACCCCGAATTTCGAAACAATTCAAAAAATCGGTATTGTCAAATGAACTATCATTTTGTAGCGCTTTTCAACTTCTATATCTTACTTTTTGGTTAAATTAAAAATATTGATTTTCAAGGGGATATAAGCCATTTGATAATCAACCAACCCGCGTTGGTTGACCAATACCTGAATTTCTGAATTTCTGAATTTCTGAATTTCTGAATTTTGTGAATTTCTGAATTTCTGAATTTCTGAATTTCTGAATTTCTGAATTTCTGAATTTCTGAATTTCTGAATTTTGTGAATTTCTGAATTTCTGAATTTCTGAATTTCTGAATTTCTGAATTTCTGAATTTCTGAATTTCTGAATTACCGAATTTCTGAATTTCTGAATTTCTGAATTTCTGAATTTCTGAATTTCTGAATTTCTGAATTTCTGAATTTCTGAATTTCTGAATTTCTGAATTTCTGAATTTCCCAATTTCAGACTATTCAAAATTCTAATTTTCCGCTTTTAATAATTTTTAACTCTTTGAAAAAGTTTCAGAATTTCTGAAAAATTGATTTTTTTGGAAAATTCGAATTTCAACAATTCCATTATTTAGAGTACAAAATTCTTCTAGATTTTCAAGGTTAAAAACATCTTTAGCGTCTCAAAACTCTTCTGGAAAACGTATAAAATCCTAATCTGTCTCTCTCTCTCTCTCTCTCTCTCTCTCTCTCTCTCTCTCTCCCCTTCTTCTTATTCCCATGTCATCAAAGATCTTCTGAATTTTGTGTAGAAAAAGAAGAAGGCGTTGCTCTTCTTCTAGACCCTGTCAGCGCTCATCTCGATGACAAATCGTGTATTCGGCGCCTCTTCTGGAGCCGCGGAGAGATTCTGGAGAAGAAGAGACGCAGAGAAGACACAGCAGTGAGCAAAAATTCCAAAGAGTAACAAAGTTGCGGGGAGGGGGGATGGATAAAAGTCTTCCCTTCTTCTTAAGGGGGACCCGAGGGAAATTTGAGTTTTCTTTAAAAACTTTTTTTTCAAACATTTTCAAATTTTTGATGACGTGGAATTGGAATTTTCGATAGGATAGCAGCAGCACCAGCAAACATGTATTGATAAGAACAAATTTTTTTTTGCCCGTTTCTTTTTTTTGAAAAGAGTTAGACTGCACACACACACACACACACACACACACACACAATATTCTAACCTGTGACATACATTTTTTTTTGCCTTCTTTTCATTCATTCAGCCCTTTTTTTGCCCTGGTTCCCACCCCTTTTTTTTGCTCCTTTTTCTCCGCCCCATCTCTCCTTTTTGCCCCTTCATCACCTTCTTCTTCCTCTTCTTTTTCCTCTTCTTCTAAATCCAAAATTCCCAAAAAAAATTTTTTTTTGGAAATTATTTTTTTTTGTAATTTCAAGAATTTGATAATGCACGAAAACGAGAAAATTCGACAGTACTTTTTGAGCACTCAGCGGACGTTTGAGGTGGGTTGAGAGGCCTGAAATAGGCCTTAAAATAGAGTTTACAGACCTAAAATGCCTAAACTTTGCCTTTATGGGTACTTGCCTATGTTTCGCAGGGCCTGAAAATAGGGCCTGAAATGCCTGAAATGTCTTAATTATAGTTTTAACACTGTTAGCGTAAAGTTTAAAAGAGCCTGAACAGCCTGAAAAGCTTAGTATAGAGTCTGAAGGGGTCTAGTGGGACCTGACAGGCCTGAAAAGCCTGAAATACCTTAGATAGGCTTGTAGATGTACCTGACCAAGTTTCAAAAAGCCTGAAAAGCCTAATATAGAGTCTGAAGGGATCTAGTAGAGCCTGTCAGACCTGGAACTCTCAAAAGGCCTAAAAAGGGCCTTTGTTGTGCCTGAAGTGGTCTAGTAGGGCCTGAAACGCCTGAAATGCCTTGATTAGGTTTTAATGAGTTCCTTGAAAAATACCTGGCTACATTTATCAAAACCTTACGTACCTAAAACGTCTGAAAAGCCGAAATACACCCTTTGAGGTGGTTGCCTAATTTTTGCAGGGCCTTACAGACCTGAAAGGCTTAATTTAGATTTTCAGAAATATCTTGCTAGGTTTTACAAGGCCTGAAATGCCTGAAATGCCTTAGGTAGATTTTTAGGGTTACCTGACTAAGTTCGATAGAGCCTTGCGGACCTGAAAAGCCTGAAAAGCCTAAATATGTCTTCTTAAGTGCCTAGCAAGGTTTTTGCAGGGCCTAACTGTGCCTGAAGTTTCTGAAAAGCCCGATTAAGGCCTTTCAGGTAATTGCCCAGGTTTTTGCAGTGTCTAAAAGAACTGAAATGCCTCAATTAGGCTGGCTAGATGCAATAGGACCTTACAGACCTAAGATGCCTGAAAAGCCTAAATACACTTTTTGAGGTAGTTGTCTAGATTTTGCATGGCCTAACAGACCTGAAAAGCCTAAATTAGGCTTTTAGGGGTATCTGCCAGTAAACCTTTGGAGTATTTGACAAGGTTATATAATGCCTGAAAGGCCTGAAAGGCCTGAATTGCCTAAAAATGCTTCTTTACTCAAAAATGTTACAAAAATTGATTTTCAAGTTTTTTTTTTGCTGGAAAAAAATCCTTAATTGGTAATACCCGGAAATTCAATTTACCGGGTTTTCAAAGAACTGAAAATTGATAAGAACACCGCGGTTTCTTATCAATTTTTCGGAATTTTTCTGATTTTTGAAAAATTCAAAAAAAAAATTTTTTTTTGAAAAATTCAAATTCCCGCCCAATCAAAATTTCTTTGCAGGCCGTCATCGTGACAGAAGGTACCGGGGAAAGTGTGCTGCTCGACTCGCTTCGATCGTCCGGCTGGAATTGTACAGTTTCGTTCCCGACACAGGTAAATTTTTTTTTGAAGTTTTTGAAAAAAATAATTCTGAAAAAAAATTTTTTTTGGCTGAAAATTTATTATTTCTGAAATCTGAAAAAACCAATTTATTAACAATTTTGATTGTCATTTTATCTTGGAATTCTTCTGAAAACGACGAATTTCGCTCCAAAATATATGCCCCAACCAAAAAAAAATTTTCAGCATAAAAAAATATTTTTGGCTGAAAATGAGCAGATGCTCTCTGAGGGATTAGTGCGCATGATAATGTATATATTGTGACACACACACACACACACACACTGCGTGTGAAAATGTAAAGTACATGCATTAGTGAACAATTGAATATTATGGGTTTTTGGATTTTTGGCTGGAGGAAGTGGAATTAGAGATACACCTCTAATGAAGGAGATTAGGTGATTAAAGATTAAAAAAGAGACATCTGGATATTTTCAGAAATTCAGAAATTCAGAAATTCAGAAATTCAGAAATTCAGAAATTCAGAAATTCAGAAATTCAGAAATTCAGAAATTCAGAAATTCAGAAATTCAGAAATTCAGAAATTCAGAAATTCACAAAATTCAGAAATTCAGAAATTCAGAAATTCAGAAATTCAGGTATTGGTCAACCAACGCGGGTTGGTTGATTATCAAATGGCTTATATCCCCTTGAAAATCAATATTTTTAATTTAACCAAAAAGTAAGATATAGAAGTTGAAAAGCGCTACAAAATGATAGTTCATTTGACAATACCGATTTTTTGAATTGTTTCGAAATTCGGGGTTTGAGCCAAGTTAGGAGGGTTCGAACTTAATAACTCAATTGACAGCCCATATCTCCCTTTAAAATCAATATTTTTGAATAAACCAAAATTTGAAACATAGAACTTAACATTCAGAAATTCAGAAATTCAGAAATTCAGAAATTCAGAAATTCAGAAATTCAGAAATTCAGAAATTCAGAAATTCAGAAATTCAGAAATTCAGAAATTCAGAAATTCAGAAATTCAGAAATTCAGAAATTCAGAAATTCAGAAATTCAGAAATTCAGAAATTCAGAAATTCAGAAATTCAGAAATTCAGAAATTCAGAAATTCAGAAATTCAGAAATTCAGAAATTCAGAGATTTTCAAAAATTCAAGAATATTCCGGAAAATCTGAAAATGCTAAAATTCTAAAATTCTCATTTCCAGGCCACATCAGACATTGAATCCATATGCCCATTAGCTGTATTTATCGATCTTCGGGTGCCGCATCCTTCACAAGTCGCAAAGTGAGTTTTTAGATTTTTTGGTCGACCGCGGTCGACCACACCGAATTGTCCCACCTTCTTGAATATCGAATTAGACTTTTTCCCCAAAAAACCCTTCTAAAAAGGCTCTCAAAAGATTCTAAATATCCATTTTCTAGAATTTCGACCGCGGTCGAGATTCCATGGTCGAGCCGCGTTTACCCAGACAAACTATAGTGTGTTTGTCCATTCGTATTCCTTCATTCTTTACACCTCGAAACCATACATACAATAACAACAACATTTCGGGGACGGACAAACCGAATTGAATAGAAAAAGAAAGTAAACTTACTAGAGTCAGAGAGTACACATTGTGTGTTCCCTTATTTACATGATTCTATCCAAGTTAGAAGGACTAAAAATAAGGGTTTAAAGGCACAGGGACATTAAAAAGTATATAACTTTGGAACTTGTGGGGGTCCGCCGTTGGAGGTGCTAGCTTTAGACGCTATTAGCTTTAACGCCATATATCTCGCTTATCGTAAGAGATATCAAAAAACAATCAACTAATAAAATAATCAGTATTTTATGTCAAACATTTTGTTAATTAACAATTTTAAAGTAGTTGCTATAGGAACCGAGATAATTAAGCTCAAAGTGTGCAAGTGTAGTGTGGCGCCGCCGCCAACTGAACTGCCCCCTCCTTACTGTGCGCCAACTTTGAGCTTTTATATCTCGCTTCCCGTGAAAAATATCAAAAAGTGGTCAACTAACAAAATAATTAAAATAATATAAAAACATTTTGTTGGTTAGCAATTTTTCAAAAGCTGTCATAGGAACAGAGATAATTAGGGTCAAAGTGCAAATACTTCCCGTGAAGTTTGTAACAGAAGATACCCAAACTTTGAATCTATATATCTCGGTTCCTATGAGCGATATCAAAAATCAGTCAATTAACAAAATAATTAGCATAAAATAAGAAACATTTTATTAATTGACAAATTTTTGATATCTTTTATAGGAACCGAGATTTTGAGTTTTAAAAAAAGGGTATAATTTTATAGTGCAATTTTATGTATATCTCATCTCAAAATGGATCAATTTTCATGAAAATTATACAGATTGATAGCAAATTTTTTAGGTGTTTGTATTTTTTAAACTTAAGCTCTCAAACTTAAAAAAAAGCTCCTAAGCTTGAAAATCAACGTAAGCATATCTACAGTCCATAGCTAGCGCAGCTAGAGTCTATAATCAATTTTTGGATGTCCTAACCCATAACCCATTTATCTCGGTTCCCATAAAAGATATCAAAAAGTGGTCAACTAGTAATGTGCTTATCATCATATCACCAACATTTTATCAATCGGAAAATTTTTGATATCTTTTACAGAAAATGAGATACACTAGATCAAAGATTGGTGTGGTTATTTGAATGTTTACAGTGATAGCAGGGACTCTAACTTCAAACCCATAAATCTAATTTTCCGTAAGAGATATCAAAAAATGAATAACTGATAAAATAATCAGTTCATTACAACAAACATTTTATTAGTTGACACATTTTTAATATCTCTCATAGGAGCCGAGATAATTGAGCAATCCATTATTCGAACCTAATCTCCTTCAACCTCCTGGATTATAATGGATTATATCTCATATTTTGTTTCTTTGATCTCTTCTCTGAAAAATAGTATACATACTACATATGTATGTATACATTTGTTATATATTCTCACGCCTTCTTCTTTTCCCTCCATCAAATCCGATGACACACATTCTGATGAGAATGTTGTATCATTTTTGCTCACAAAAAACAACAGAGAGAGCAAAAAGAGCAAAAAATTTGGAGCAAAGCAGGACACGAGGTGTGGGGGGATTACGTATATGATCAGTTGATGATGATGATGATAACATTTTGGAGTTTTTAAATTATGGACTTTTTGAAAGGGACTTGAAAAGTTGGAGAAAAAGCAGTAGGAACTGGGCTTCCACTTTGAGCCAACTTATCTTGGTTCCTATAAAAGATATCAAAAAGTTGTCAACTGATAAAATGTTTATCAAAATTCAAAAAATATTTCATCAGTTTATTACTTTTTGATATCTCTTATAGGAACCGAGATATATGCATTCAAAGTTCGGACATATTCTGTTTCAAGCTTCACGGAAAGTATTTGCACTTTGACCTTAATTATCTCAGTTCCTGGGACAGATATCAAAAAGTTGTCAACTGATGAAATATTAATCAATATTTGGAAAATATTTTATCAGTTTATTACTTTTTGTTATCTCTTATAGGAACTGAGATAAATTGGGTCCAAGTTAACTGATTTTTGAAAAATTCAAATTTTGAAAAAATTCAAATTTCCAAATTTTGTGATTTCTAAAATTAGCATTTCTGTAGTTTTGGGATTTCTGAATTTCTGAATTTCTGAATTTCTGAATTTCTGAATTTCTGAATTTCTGAATTTCTGAATTTCTGAATTTCTGAATTTCTGAATTTCTGAATTTCTGAATTTCTGAATTTCTGAATTTCTGGAATTTCTGAATTCTGGAATTTCTGAATTTCTGAATTTCTGAATTTCTGAATTCTGGAATTTTTCGGAATCTCAATTATTTTTAATCAATAAATATTTTTTTTTCAGAGACGTCTCCTCGGTGAGCACTGAGGAGGTGCTAATTGCGTCAATTGCGGAAAAGTGAGTGCTTTTTCAATTTTTCTGAAATTCCTGCAAATTCTAAAATTCTGAAATTAATATTTTCAGACACATCAGTGAAAAACGACGGAGAGCTCTGGCGCAGTCAAATATTATTCATGTAAGCGGAAACATTTTTTTTTGCTTGATTAAAAAATTCTTTTCAAAAAAAAATTCTTTTTTCAAGATTCATAAATTATTCAAAAGTCAGATGATGTATCTATCTGATAATTAAATATTCCAGCATGTGACGTGGAACACTCGAGATGTTTCATTATTCGATTACGTCGGACGGCTCGCCAACCGGATTCGTGCTCTGCCGGCTCTTTTTACAGTTTTGGATGAGGTAAGTTGTTTTTGAGCCAATTTATCTCGATTACTGTACAAGATGTGAAAAAGTAGTCAACTAATAAATTGTTGCTGATAATGTGGCAAACATTTTGTCTGTTGACCACTTTTTGATATCTTTCACAGGAGCCGAGAGATATGAGCTGCAATAATTTGAAGATTCCCTTCCCTTGAAATACACTCAAATTAGCTAAAAATTAAATAAAAAACAATTTGGGACCCAAAGAAATCAAACTCTTGGGTCTTCTGCTCCAAAGTCAATCCTCTTACTCACTGCGCCATTGAGACACCGCGCGCTTTGAGCTACCGCGGCGCCCAAAAGGGCGCGTAAGCGTGCAGTGATGGCGCAGTGGGAAGAAGAGATGTACTTGTAGCTGAAGACCTAAAAGTTTGGTTCCTTTAGGGACCAAACGTTTTTTTATCATTTTTAGCTTTTAGGGGTATATGTTTAAACTCGAAATTTTGGATTTTGACATTTTTTGATAAACAAAACTAAAAGAGCTTAACAAGTAGGTTCTCGATTTCTGATTTTCAGGGTTCTCTAGAATACCGTAATATCTTTAAGGCCCAGATTTCCTGAATATCCGAGTTTCTGAATTGCAGCTTTGATTTTTTGGAATTTCCGAATGCTTCAAATTTTTACGTTTCTTGAAGTCCTTGAAATTCCAAATCGCAAAAAAAAACTGTGATTTTCCAACGAATTTCTGTCCAAAAACCAATTTTCTAGCTCATCTAGACGCCGAGATAAAACCTTTTAAAGTTCAGGGGAAACGCAGACAACGAGACACTCTAACTGTCTGCGTCTCTCGCCACCTAAACTTTAAAAGCCCATAGCTCGGCTTCTAGATGAGCTAGAGAACGTATTTTTGGACAGAAATGTAAAACTTATTTAGATTTTCAAATTTCCTAAATCTTCATTTTTTTATTGTAGTTTTAGTTTTCTGGAAATTTTGATTTTTGCCAATGTCTACCTTCTGCAGTGTTTAAACTCTCAAGAATCTCAAACTGCGACTTTCCGGGAATCTCAATAATCTTCAAATTTCTAAACTTTTCCAAAAACAATTTCCAAAATTTTCGAAATTTTCCTTTTTTTTCCAGACGGACCAAGCAGTGGAAGTGTGTGACGAGCATCGTGTAGTGCAATACGTGAATCGTGCCTACGAAAACGTCACCGGTTGTATTCGATCCGAAGTCATCGGACAGCCTGAATCGGAAATGAGACGGAAATCATTGCCAAGGGCACGTGGAGAGGAGGAGCGGAGGCGGAGCTCCGATTGGAAATTCATACGGGTACCTTTTGCGAACAAGTGAGTCGTCTTTTGGGGATTCTCAGGATTAAAGCTTTCATTCGGTCGGGGAAATTAGGCCGACCGACCGACCGCCGACCGAATCCGTGCATTTTTGCGTCAACATACCGGAGAGTGTTTGCGTACGCAACACTCTATTTTAAGACGAACTAGGCATTTTTGAATTTGTGAACTGGGTTCACCACCACTTGACGCCCAAATGCACAGATTCAGTCGACGCGCCGACCGATCGGTCAGCTCGGTCGGCGGTCGTCAATATTCCACCGACAGCAATGGAAGACTTACTTAGAATGCTTAGCTTTTTGGCATTTTTGGAGTTTTTAGGATTTTTGAGATTTTCATTGTAAATTATAAGGATTTTTGTAATTTTTTTTGTAAATTATAAGAATGACAACGAGACACTCTAACTGTCTGCGTTTCTCGCCACCTAAACTTTAAATTAAACGTCCATATCTCGGCTCCTAGATGAGCTAGAAAAGTGATTTTTTGACAGAAATGTACAACTTTTCTCAGCTTTTCAAGTTTTAGCTCAAATCAAAAATTTTGGGGTCTAGGATTCTGAGATTTTTTAAAATTTAATTTGTCTAATTTGAACATATGAAAATCGAAAAAAAAGTCCACATTTCCGTTCAAAAATCACTTTCCTAGCTCATCTAGAAGCCGAGATATGGGCATTTAAAGTTTAGGATGTGAGAGACGCAGACGACGAGACACTCTAACTCACTGCGTCTCTCGCCTCCCAAACTTTGAATGCCGATATCTCGGCTTCTAGAGCAGCTAGAAAAAGGATTTTAAGATAGGAAAACGTAAAATTCAAATACTTTTCAAAAAACTAGATTTTTTGAAATTTCTGCAAAAAATTTTCTGGAACTTTTTTTCTGAAATTTCAGAATATTTTCAGATTTTCAAATTTCATATGTTTCCGTTCAAAAATCACTTCTCTAGCTTGTCTAGAAGCCGAGATACAGCCATTTGAAATTTCGGAGAGACGCAGACAACGAGACCTTCTAACTGTCTGCGTCTCTCGCCTTCCAAACTTCAAATGGCTATATCTCGGCTTCTAGATGAGCTAGAAACGTGTATTTTCGACAGAAATGTAGAGCCGTCCGAAGATTTTCAAATTTCTTTTGGATTCTTAGATTTATAAGATTTATAGGATTCTTAGGACTCCTAACTTTTTGATACTTATATTCTTAAAGGTGGGGGGACATGAGAAAAATAATGTTGTCGAAATTCCGTTTAAATATGCTCCTCGAGGAGTTGAACTTGTCGAGGCGAGTGTTGAAGGTGCGGCGTCGCTACCGACTGAGCTACGCGTGCAAAGAAAAAGCCGCTGCCCGATTGCATACATAAAGGCGAGGGCGACAGCTGTACGCAGAGTGACATTAAGCGTTGTACACCGTTACGGTAGAATGCATACTCTGGCCCCAAAAATCCCCCGTAAAATCTCCTGTCCCCCCACCTTTAAATTCATAGATTCAGATCTTGGAATGCATAATTTTCTCCATTTTCAGTAGTCAATTCGTGTATATGAAACGCTCAAACACAACCGGTGAAGCGGCAATCTTCCGCGACGTCTCCCTCAAATCCCTCAAATCCCAAACCGGCGGAATCGAAGCCCCGATCTCCGAAGTGCTCACCATGCTCCGCGACGTCTCGTGTCGTGTAGACGGTGAGCCAGCTCAAACTATCAAAGACGCCATGAAAGTTCTCTCCTCCCACGAGTTGTATGCTCCAAGTATCAATCGATTCCGTGACGCTGATCGAATCGCAACCCAATACTACGATGGTCTAATCCGCCTACATCATCCAGCTAGGCAACGGAAGCGAAGCGTCGTAGATGCTCATCGAGAGAAGCGAGGATCCCATGGAGAGCGTCGAAGGGTGTCTGCAGATGTAAAGAATGCGTTGGAGAATGACAACTGCTGGAAATTCGACATCCTTCATTTGGAAAAAGTCTCCGATCACCACGCATTGTCTCAAGTTGGAATGAAAGTCTTCGAAAGATGGAAGGTTTGCGAGGTTCTCGGATGCTCTGACGACCTTCTGAATCGCTGGATCCTCTCTATCGAAGCCCATTATCACGCCGGCAACACTTATCACAATGCCACCCATGCTGCAGACGTCCTGCAAGCCACGTCTTTCTTCCTGGACTCCCCATCAGTAGCCATCCATGTTAATGAGTCGCATGCAGTTGCTGCACTCCTCGCAGCTGCAGTACATGACCTAGATCATCCTGGAAGGGGAAATGCGTACTTGATAAATACAAGACAATCACTGGCTATTCTCTACAATGATAATTCAATCCTGGAGAATCATCATATCGCACTGGCATTCCAGTTGACGCTCCAACATAATGCCAATGTGAATATATTTTCGAATTTATCAAGAGAGGAGTTTATCCAAATGAGACATGCGATGGTGGAGATGGTTTTGGCAACGGATATATCCAGACATTTTGAATATTTGGCAAAGTTTAATAAGATGCATGTGACTGATGTTGCGGAGGAGCAACGGGATACAAACTCCTTGACCATTTGCGATATGTTGGTGAAGTGTGCAGATATCTCGAATCCGGCGAGAGAATGGGGACTTTGTCAGAGATGGGCCCATCGTATTGTTGAGGAGTACTTTGAGCAGGTATACTGTCTTTGGGGTTAAAGAAAAGTGTTATGGCTCGGAAGAAAATTGGTTTGAATGGTTTTTGAGACGTTTTTTGGCTGAGCTTCGCTATACTTTATCTTTGAGCTCTATTATCTCGGTTCCTATATGAGATATCAAAAATTTGTCAACTACAAAAATTTTTATCATAATATCAGAAATATTTTATAAGTTGACAAATTTTTGGTATCTCTTATAGGAGCTGAGATAATTGAGCTCAAATAAGGTGATTTTTTTGGCTGAGCTTGGCTATACTTGATCTTTGAGTTCAATTATCTCGGTTCTTGTAAAAGATTTCAAAAAGAGGCCAACTGATAGAACAATTAGCATAAAATAAGCAACATTTTGTTAGTTAGTAATTTTTAGATAGCTGTTACAGTAACTGAGATAATTGAGCTCAAAGAGCAAAGATTACCGTAAAACTTGTAACAAAAGATCCTCTTAACTTCTAGGCAATTTATCTCGGTTCCTATGAAAGATATCAAAAAGTGGTTCACTGATAAAACAATCAACATAAAACACTAAACATTATGTTAGTTGGCCATCTTTTGGTAGCTATCACAGTAACCGAGATAATTGAGCTCAAAGAGCAAATACTTCCCGTGAGGCTTGTACCAGTAGATGTCCGAACTTTGGATCTATATATCTTGGTTCCTATGAGAGATATCAAAGAGTGGTCCACTGATAAAACAGTCAACATAAAATAAGCAACATTTTGTTAGTTAGTAATTTTTAGATAGCTGTTACAGTAACTGAGATAATTGAGCTCAAAAAGAGTGGTTTTTTGGGGCCTTTGTTTTGGCTGAGCTTCGCTATACTTGATCTTTGAGCTCAATTATCTCGGTTCCTATAAGAGATATCAAAAAGTTGTCAATTACAAAAACGTTTATCATAATATCAAAAATATTTTATCAGTTGACAAAGTTTTGATATCTCTCATAGGAGTTGAGATGATGGAGCGTGAATAAGTGGTTCTGAGATTCTCATAATTCTTACAAATTCTCAAATTTTCAGACTCGCGAGGAAAAAGAAAAAGGATTGCCAGTAACCATGGAGGTATTCGATCGTAACACCTGTAACGTCCCGATCACGCAGTGCGGATTCATAGGTAAGCAAGTGCGCTCTATTGGACTTTTTGAACAATTCGAATTTTCCGTTTTTCTCGGCCGCCAATGGTCCGTTTTCCGATTTTTAGGGTTTAGAATTTTTCTGGGCCGCCAATGGGCTGCCAATAATCCGTTTTTTGTCATTTTTCAAAATTTAAAATCTGAAAATTTTCAGATATGTTCGCTCGTGAAGCATTTGCCACTTTTACGGAGTTCGCAAAACTCGGTGAGCTCTCTGAGCAATTGGAGTCAAATTATGAGAAATGGAAGCTGATGACGTCACAATGGACGCCGACACACAACACAAATTTGGTGCTTTAGAACCAATTTTTTTCATGTTTTTTCAAAAATTTTGAATTTTTTGAATCCTCACTTTTTCACTTTTTTCACTTTTTTTTGTTTTTTTCTTGTTGCCCACACATCTAATTGCTCATTCTTAAAATTTCCTTGAAAAATGATTCTAGACAATTTCAGCCACACACACATCATCATTCTGATTTTCATCTCCTTGATTTTTTGAAATTTCAAACTCCCGCTCTTTTTAATTAAAATCAATCTTGCCGGTTTTCTCACTTTTCCTAAACCCGCTTATCCTTTTTTTTTGGAATTTTCAAACGATTCGAATTTTTCCCTTTTTTTTTGAAAATCTCGGTTGTATTTTGGAATGGTTTGGAGGGGTTTTGAAATTTTCGAAAATTCGAATTTCTAGATTTTTCGAGAAAATCTAGGAATTTTTAAAATTTTGACCTTTTTTTGAAATTTCCGATTTTTTGAATTCCAGGATTTTTCATTTTTTGGAATTTCTGAATTTCTAAATTTCTGAATTTCTCAAATTCTGAATTTCAGAATTTCTGAATTTTTGAATTTCTTAATTTCTCAAATTCTGAGTCTTTGAATTTCGAATTTCTCGAATTTTCGAATTTGTTTTAGAAAATCTGAAAAAATCTGGAATTTTCGAAAATTTTCAATCAAAAATTTTTTGAAAAAAAAATTCTGGAAAATTCTGAAATTCTGAAAATCTGAATTTTGAAAACATTTTTTTTTGGAACATTCGGAATATTGAGAATTTCAGATAAAAAATTCTAGAAATTCAAATTTTTCGGCACGAAAATTCTGAAAATTCTGTATATGGTATCCAAGAATCCTAAGAATCCTAAGAATCCTAAAAATCTAAGAATCAAAATTCCAAAATTCAAAAATCCTCCAAAAATGCCTTCCTAAAAATATTTATTCTTTTTTTTCTGAATTTTTTGAATATATCATTATCCACAAATTTTCTTTCTCTCCATCTGCTTTATCATCATTCATCCATTCCTCAATTTCCCCCCCAAAAAAAAATTCTAGTCCATTTTTCCATTTTTTCCCTAAAACCTAAAATATGCGGTCCCCTTTGAAAACAACGATTTTTTCAAATTCAAATTTCTCTTTTTTTTAAATTTCCCTCCGCATTTTCTTGCCATTTTCCCCTCCTTGAAAAATAAAACAAAAAACAAGCCCCGCCCCTTTTTTACCGTATTTTTATATGCATCTTTTTCTTGCCCTTTTAAAATTTTTTTCCAATTTTTTTTTGAATTTTAACACAAGACATCCATTCCTAATTGGTTTTGCGTGATGATGATCGGGGTGATGATTTGAATAAAAAATTAAAATTATGATTGATTTTTCTTTGGAAATTTCAGATACCACACTGTCAACTTTAAGACAATTTATTTCGATTTCTGTGAGAGATATCAAAAATGTGTCAACTGATAAAATATTAGTGATATTATGATAAAAAATTTATCAGTTGACCACTTTTTGATATCTTTCACAGGAATCGAGATATATAGATTCAAAGTTGAAAGTTAGAGGGCCCTTCTATTACAGGTTTTACGGTTCATATATTTTTTCAAATATTATAGTAAAAAATTTCGAAAAATTTCAAAAAAAAAATCAAATTTATTTATTTATTTTTCGGAACAATTTTGACTGAAAAATAGGACTTAAAAAATCGAAAAATCACCAGAATTACAAAAATTGGGAAAATGAAAACGAGGAATTTATAAATATAAATATCATAGTTATATCTCTGAAAATCGGACATTTTCAGACTGTGGGGAGACATTTGTGGGAATGGACCGAACCTGAAAAAAGAGGAAGTTTTAGGTTTTTTCAGTTACCTGTATTTGAAGGGCCGGCCCTTCTATTACAGGGGCCCCTCTATTAAAGAGGCTCTTCTAATACAAATTTTACGGTATTAGAATTTTTCAAGAAGTTTTCAAAATTTTGAATTTTCAAAGATTTAAGGATTTTCAAAAAATTTCAACTTTTCAACTTTTATAGTTTCAGGAATTTCCGAACTTCAGAATTCCTGAATTTCAGAATTTCAGAATTTCAGAATTTCAGAATTTTAGAATTTCTGAATTTCTGAATTTCTGAATTTCTGAGTTTCTGAATTTCAGAATTTCAGAATTTCTGAATTTTTGAATTTCTGAATTTCTGAATTTCTGAATTTCTGAGTTTCTGAATTTCTGAATTTCTGAATTTCTGAATTTTTGAATTTCTGAATTTCTGAATTTTTGAATTTTTTAATTTCTGAATTTCTGAATTTTTGAATTTCAGAATTCCTGAATTTAAGAATTCCTGAATTCCTGAATCTCAGAATTTCAGAACTTCAGAATTCCTGAATTTCAGAATTTCAGAATTCCTGAATTTAAGAATTTCAGAATTTCAGAATTCCAGAGTTTTGCATTTCACCAAATTCAACATTTCAAAAACACCAAACTTTTGATTTCTCAATTTTTCGCAAAAATTCAAATATCCTGAAATTTCAAAACCAAAAAAATCACTAACTTCCCAACGAATTCCACATATTTCACCACCAAATCCTTCGGCTTAATCGGCTGATTTTTAACAATTTCAGCGATTTTTTCCGCATTTTTTCGATAATTTTCATTATTTAAAGTTTCAGAAAAGGCTTCTCGAAGTTTCTCGAAATTTCCCAAATCTTTTTTATGCAAGACAATTGACATCCCATGACGAGCCAACATATTAGCGTTACGAGATTGATCAGCGAATATTGGAATCTGAAAAAACAATTGATAAACTCTGAAATTTTTTCCAAAATTACCGTAAAACCTGTATTAGAAGGGCCCCTGTAATAGAAAGGCCCTACAGAGGTACCTTGGAACAATAGAAGGATCGGCCCTTCTAACACAGGTTTTACGATAATTACCATAATTGTTGGAATTCCAAAAAATGCGGCCTCATTGGTGCTTCCCAATCCTCCATGGGTCAGAAATGCGGTCATTCGAGAATCTTCTGGAATGAAATTTTTTTAGAAATTCAGAAATTCAGAAAATCAGAAATTCAGAAATTCAGAAATTCAGAAATTCAGAAATTCAGAAATTCAGAAATTCAGAAAGTCCAAGAATTTCAGAATTCCAGAATTCCAAGAATTCCAGAATTTGAGAATTCCAAGAATTCCAGAAATTGAGAATTCCAGGAATTCCAAGAATTCCAGAATTCGAGAATTTTAGAATTCCTGAATTTCAGAATTTCAGAATTCCAAGAATTCCACAATTTCAGAAATTCAAAAAGTCCGAAACTTCGAAATTTTGAGAAAATTTTCTGAATCTCAGAATCTCAGGATCTCAGAATTCCAAGATATTAGAATCACCAATTTTCGAATTTCCGAATTTCAAAATCTAGAATTCCAAAACTCAAAAATTCAGAAATTTGAAAATTTCGAAACTCTTTCCCCCAAAAATTCAAAAAATCGGAGTTTTTTATTTTTCCAGTTTTCCGGATGTGTCAATTTTTGAAAATTCCAAAACTCACTCAACAATTCCATCTGGGGCGCCCATTTGACAAATTCCAAATTCTCAACGCCTTCAGCGAATTCCACGTCATCAGATTCGTATTTCCAAATGAAAGTACAATTGGGTTGACTCTTAAAAACTTCCAGAAGGTTCTTTTTAAAATTTTCAGGCATCGTTGAGGACTTGGCAAGAGTTCCGAACGATATCAACATGTTTTTGGGTCGTTTTTCAAGAATTTTCGAAAATTCCAAATTTCCAGAAGATTCTAAACTTTGAACACTCTCAAAATCCACTGAAATCCCACCGATCCCAATGGTTTTTTGAAGATGTGGACGTGGAAAATCGATAAAAGGAATGGAATTCACAAAATGAAGAGAGGCTTCTGGAATCAAAGTTTTCCAGTCTGGAAAATTTGGTCCTAAATGACTACGGTAGGTTTTTGCCTCGTCGTCGAACATGCTTCCAAACGTTTTTAGCATTAAATTTAGCATTTCGAAATTCTCGAGACGATCCGAGAAATCCATTTTTTCGGTGACTTGGGAGTTCATGGCTGAAAATTGTGTTTTTTCTTCAATTTTTTTTCAAAAACTTCGAATTTTTCGAATTTCAAAAGTATCCAGGACCCAGGACCCAGGACCCAGGACCCAGGACCCAGGACCCAGGACCCAGGACCCAGGCATTGAAAAAGAAAACTAACTTGGCCAATAACTAGTATCCACTGGTTCTCCAAGTGTCGGTAGTAGAATATCATAATTAACACAAGAACTGGTAATTATCGTTTTCTCAATATTCAAATGTCTAAAAAGTGCCAATCCACATGTCATCAATGGTTCAGCCAATCCAATATCATATTGATTTTCTCTCAATTTTTCGATAATTTCCTTCGATCGAAACAGATTATCACAGGTTAAAACTGCTTGTTGATGAAGGGTTTCTAGAATTCGATGACCGTTTTTTGAAGTTACGTCCATTGTCCAGAATATTGACATCATATCGTCGATTTTCACATCTTTCTCCTTCATTTTTGAGTCTTGCTGCAAATGTTTCGATTAATATTTTTTTTTTAACTAGGGAATATTGGAATTCTGAAATTTTGGAATTTCGGAAATTTAGAATTTTTGGATTTTTTGGATTTTTTTCAGAACCACGACGTTTCTGAACCCGACAGTTCGGAACCCGAAGTTCAAAACCTGACGTTTCAGAACAGCGACGTTTCAGAACCCGACGTTTGAGAACTCGGCATTTTAGAACAGTGGAGAACCCGACATTTCAGAACCACGACGTTTCAGAACCCAACAGTTCAGAACCGCGACGTTTCAGAACCACGACGTTTCAGAACCCAACAGTTCAGAACCGCGACGTGTCAGAACTCGACAGTTCGGAACCCGATATTTCAGGATCCGACATTTCAGAACCCGACAGTTCAGAACCCGACAGTTCAGAACTCGACAGTTCAGTAGAATTTCAGAATTTCAGAATTTCAGAATTTCTGAATTTCGGAATTTCTGAATTTCTGGAATTCTGAATTTCTGGAATTCTGAATTTCTGGAATTCTTGGAATTCTCAAATTCTGAACTTTTGAATTTCTGAAAAATCCTACCTCCAATTTGATCACATTTTTTGTCAGCTTGACTCCCAATTGATTTTTTCTAGTCTCATCGATAATCGGCGTAAAAAATGTGACATTATGGCCGGATTCTGTTAGTGTATCAGCTAATCTAGCCATAAAGTTTGTATGGCTAGCTGCATATAGAGGTGAATATACTAGAATTTTCAAAGAAGTCGAACTGGAAATCAGCAATAGTGCGAAAATGATAAAAAACGAAAATTTTCGCATTTTAACGCTTATTTTTCTATACAAAATTTTCTTCTTATATACCATTTTCCTTTTCGGGTTACTGTATATTTTTGCGTACTTTTTTTTCGCGAAGTAACACAAAATTTTTGTGACCTTTGTTGTCTAAATCTCTCAATCTCTCGCCGACAGTTTCAATGAGACGATGACAAATGAGACACAGTGATAAGTAGAAGAAATTGTACTTTGATCAATTTTTAAAACAATTTTTTGAACCCGAGATCATTTTTCCAGGTTACGGTAGTTTTAGATTGTTGATTCTTGAAATTTTAGGGATTTTTGAGTTTTTAGGATTTCTTGTGGATTTTTAGAAATTTTAACTTTTTGTCAATTTTTGAACTCAAGATCGGAATATTTGGGAAATTTGAGTTTTTTCGGGTTACTGTAGTTTCGGATTCTTGATTTCTTTTTTGGATTTTTTATGTCGAAAACTTGGAACAAGCACAATTTTAATAAATTTCAAGAAATTTCAAAAATTTCAAAAAAATGAAAATTTTCGAAAATTCAGAATTTTTCCTGAAAATGCTGAAAATCAAATTTTTGGGCATTAGAATTCTTAGATTTTTTTTGGGGCTTTGTGGCATTCCTGAATTTCTGGACTTCTGAACTTCTGGTTTCTTAGAAAATCCGGAAATTGGAAAACCGGGAAAAAGTATTACATTTTTGTGCAAAAATCACTTCTCTAGCTCATCTAGAAGCCGAGATATGGGCATTTGAAGTTTAGGATGTGAGAGACGCAGACAACGAGAGAATCTAACTGTCTGCGCCTCTCGCCTCCCAAACTTCAAATGGCTTTATCTCGACTCCTAGATGAGCTAGAAAAATGATTTTTCGACAGAAATGTAAAGCTTTTCGAAGATTTTCAAATTTTTGAATTTTTAGATTCATAAGATTTATAGGATACTTAGGACTCCTAACTTCCTATATTCTTACAATTGCCTAAATTCATAGATTCTCAGATCTTGGGATTTGTAATTTTCTCCATTTTCAGTAGTCAATTCGTGTATATGAAACGCTGGTTTCTTAGAAAATCAAGAAAAAGTATTACATTTTTGTGCAAAAATCACTTCTCTAGCTTATCTAGAAGTCGAGATATGGGCATTTAAAGTTCAGGACGTGAGAGACGCAGACAATGAGACATTCTAACTGTCTGCGTCTCTCGCCTTTGAATCTTTAAGTGCCCATATCTCGGCTTCCATGTGAGCTGGGAAAATGATTTATATTAATTCAGAGTTATCGAGTTTTTTAAGAATTTAGGATTTTTTAGAATTTCGGAAATTTTGAGGTTTTGAATTGTTTGGGCTTCTGAATTTTCAGAAATTTTTGAATTTTTAAGATTTTCAGGCTTATCTAGCAACATCTTAGTTATATATTCGTTTATTCGAAGATTTGAAGATAATAAAGATTGATGGGAACTGGGAAAAGAAAATGAAAAAACGAAGCTAAGAAGGACTAACCCGCAAGAGTTAGTCCTAAAACATCTAGTCTGTCTGTGTGTCGTTTTGTCCTTTTTCCGGCGAAAAATCCCCTTTTCCAACTAATTTACCCTCGTTTAATGCAAGCGCGCTCCATCGCACTCGACCGAAAAATTATTTTTTTTTTTCATTTTCCCTTCATTTTTTCTGAATTTTTCGGCTAAAACCGAAGTTTCTCGGCAAAAATGACATCAAAATACGGACTGCTCGTGCTAAATAGTAAAAATGTGCAAAAATTAAAACAGCTGTTCACCACGGCGGCCGCCAGTTTGAGCTCTAGACTTTATGTCAGGTATTTTGCGATTTTCGGCGAAAAATTATCGGATTTTTCGCATTTTTTTGCAGACTAAACCCGGATACTGATCGCACCGACGATTTGGTGTCGAAAATCTACCTGAATTCGGCGAATTTTTGCCCAAAAATCGACGTTCGCCTGGTGGTGTCGGAAATTCCCGGGAAAATCGATAATTATGAGTTAATTGGCGAAGAAAAATATGAGAAATCTAGTGGAAAAAGCGAGAAAAAGTACAAAAAAGTGGTGTTGGGCGGTACATTCGATCGGCTACACAATGGACATAAGGTTCTGCTGAATAAGGCCGCCGAGCTGGCATCCGATGATATTGTTGTGGGAGTTACTGATAAGGAAATGATTGCGAGTGGGTAATTAAGCGAATAATTAGAAAAATGATTGAAAATTCGACTGAAAAATCGAAAAAAAAATCCAGAAAAAACTGTATATTTCAGCCTGAAAATGGCTATTTTCAGCAAAAAATATTATTTTTGGAATTAAAATATTTTTGAAAATTTCCGAAAAAAACCTGAAACTTTTGTAAAATTCTAGAAAAAAAATCTATATTTCTAGAGAGAAAATTTGAAAAAAAAACTTTTTTTTCAAAAAATCTGAAAATCTGAAAATTTCCAGAAAAATCGCTGTTCGAAATGATCGAACCGGTTGAGATTCGGATGAAAAATGTGGTGGATTTTGTGGAGGATATATCGGGAGAAGTAAGGAAAATAGCTGAAAATCTGAAATTTCAAAAATTCAAAAAATCGAAATTCCCGCGTTTTCTGAAAAAAACTAGTAAATTCTGGAAATTTCGAAAATTTTTTTCCTAATTTCGAAAATCTAAAATTACAGTAATTCCAAAAATTTGCACAAAAATTTAATAATTTTGGAAAATTCGGTATTTCAAATTTGAAAAATCCAAAAAATTAGAATTCTCTGAAAATCTGAAATTTCAGAAATTCTGAAAATTTGAAATCTCAAAAGCTGGAAATTTTCAGGAATTCAAAAATCTCGAAAATTCGGATTTTTATAATTTTTGAAAGTTCATAATCCAGAAATTCAGAAAACCTTGAAATTTGGAATTTTCCAAAATCTGTAAATTGGGAAATTCTGGAAAAATAGAAAAATCTAAAAATTCTGAAATTTGCGAATTTCCTGAAAGTCTGAAATTTAAAATTTGGGCATTTCTAGGTAGTTTCGAAAAATTCTAAAAACTAAAAAATTTGAATTTTCACAATTTTTTGAAAATTCGAAAATTGGAATTTTCCAAAATCTGGAAAATTCTGAAATTTGAAAAATCCAAAAAATGAAAATTTTCGAATTCTCTGAAAATCTGAAACATTCTAAAAACTAAAAAATTTAAAAATTTTTGAAAATTCGAATTTCGGAAATTCTAGATTTTCCAGAAATTCAAAAATCCTTGAAATTCGGAATTTTCCAAAATCTGAAAAATTCTGAAATTTGAAAAATCCAAAAAATGAAAATTTTCGAATTCTGAAATTTCAGAATTTTCCTAATATTTTCCAGGCCATTTGCCTCACCGAACCAATAATCGATCCATTTGGTCCGTCGACCCGTATCAAGGATCTCGAAGCGATCGTAGTCTCCCGTGAGACTCTAAAAGGAGCCGACGCATGAACAAAATCAGAAATGAGCAAGGAATGAGCCAATTGGATGTGATCATTGTGGAATTAGTCGAAGGAAACGACGAGATTCTGAATGAAACGAAAATCTCGTCGAGTTCGCGAAGACGCGCCGATTTGGGACGTCTTCTGAAGCCGACGAGAGAGGTGCTACGTGGCGAAAACGGTGGAAAACCGTATTTAATTGGGCTGGCAGGTGGAATTGCTTCCGGAAAATCACATATTGCTAAGTATTTGAAAGTTAGTACGATAGGATCTTCAGAATTTTCAGAAAATTCGGAAATTCTGAAATTCAGAATTTCTAAAATTTAGGATTTTTAGAAATTTGGAAATTCGGAAATTCAGAAATTCGGGAATTCAGAAATTTGGAAATTCAGAAATCTGGAAATTCAGAAATTTGGAAATTCCAGACAATTCAGAAATTCAAAAATTCAGAAATTCAAAAATTCAGAAAATTCAGAAGTTCTGAATCTCAGAAATTCCAGAAAATTCTGAAATTCGGAAATTCAGAAAATTCAGAAAATTCTGAAATTCATAAATTTGGAAATTTGGAAATTCTGAAATTCGGAAATTCTGAATTTCTGAAATTCTGAAATTCAGAAAATTCAGAAATTCAGAAAATTCAGAAATTCATGAATTTGGAAAATTTCAGAAATTTCAAAAAAATGCGTTTTTCGAAAATTTTGAATTTTCTAGAACTTTGGAAATTTCTTTTTTTTATATTTCAAAATTTTCGAATTTTCCAGAAATTGAAAATTTTGAAAAAATCTGAAAATTTCCAAAAAAATGGTTCGAAAATAAGCGGGAATTTGAATTTTCTGGAATTTCAGAGTTTTTGAAAAAATTTTTTTCGATATTTTCAAAAATTCAAAAAATTGAAATTCCAGAAATTCCAGAAAATGAAATTCCAGAAATTCCAGAAAATTCTAATTTCGCTTATATTTCAAAAAATAAAAATACGAAAAAATTGAAATTTGAAATTTCTAGAAGTTCCAGAAAATTGGCAAATTCTGGAAAATTTGAAAATTCATAATTTCCGGAATTCCAGAAAATTTCAATTCCAGCTTAGTTCAATTTTGGAAAATTCGAATTTTCGAAATTCTGAAAAATCGAAATTCAGAAATTCAGATTTTTCTGGAATTTCAGAAAATTTCCAATTTTCTACTATTCCATATTTTCAGGAAAAGCACGGTTTCGATGTGATCGATTGTGATAAGCTGGCGCATACATGCTATGAAAAAGGCAGTTTATTGAATCAAAAAATCGCCGAACACTTTGGAAACGACATTGTTATCGATGGAATTGTCGACAGGAAGAAATTGGGAGGAATCGTTTTTTCCGATAAATCGAAATTACGAGAATTGAGTGAGCTGGTGTGGCCAGAAGTCAGAAAAAAGGCGACGGAAATCGCGGATCAGTCGACAGCTAAAGTTGTTGGTGGGTGGAAAAAACCACGTAAAGATGACCTAGAAATGTCCTAAAATGACCCGGGTATGTTTTCTGTGTCATTTAAGGTAGTGGCCTAACTTTTGCAACTTTTGGTTTTCTAGGCCATCGCTTCAAAATGACCTAGAAAACAAATGAGGGCATTTCTAAGCCATTTTAACGCGGTGGCCTAGAAAATCAAACTTGCAAAAGTTAGGCCACCACTTCAAAATAACCTATTATTCAAAAAAATTCCAAAAAATCGAAAATTCAAAAAATTCCAAAAAAACCCAAAAATTCCAAAAAATCAAAAATTCCAAAAAATCAAAAATTCCAAAAAAATCAGAAATTCAAAAAATTCAAAACAAACGAAACTTTAAAAAAATTAAAAATTCGAAAAAAAAATCGAAAATTCCAAAAAATCCAAAAAACGAATTTCAGTGATCGAAGCAGCGGCCCTAATTGAAGCCGGCTGGCACGAAGCTCTCGCCGAGACCTGGACCGTGTTCGTCCCAGCCGAAGAAGCCGTCCGACGCGTCGTCGAGAGGGATAGCCTTACAGAATCCCAGGCAAAAGATCGAATGTCATCGCAAATTTCGAATAAGCAACGCATCGATGCGAGCAATGTCGTCCTGTGCTCACTGTGGAAACACGAAGAGACACGAGCACAAGTCGATCGAGCCGTCGAGGAACTCTTGCAGAGAATTTGAATTTTTCCCATTTCTCTTCTTTCTTTTCTGTTGAAAATCCTCTTAAAATAACCTAAAAATGCCCGAAAATTGGCTGAAAATTAGCTGAAAAGCGAAAAAAAAATTGAAAAAAATTTTTTTTTTTCAAATTTTTTTTTCTTTTGAATTCAATTTTTTTTTAATTAAAAATTTTTTTCGAAAATTAAATTTATTTTTTTTTGCCATTTTCTGAATCCTAAATTCGCTAATAATTTGCCTTTCTCGATGTTTTTTTTTGGTTTTTAAAATTTAGAAAAAAAAACAGCTTTCTAGGATTACTGTAGCTCGAGATACGGTAGATTTGGTGGTGCAGCAGTCAGAGCTACAGTAACCCAAAAATGCTGTCTAGAACAATCTAGAATTCCGAAAAAAATTTCCAAAAAAAGTTTGCCACCGAGTGGAGTCGAACCCGGGTGTTGAGATTCGAAAAGTTCAAAAAACCTTTTTTTTTGAGAAAAAAATAAAAATTTTGAAAAACCTCGATTTTCGTGGTTTTTTCAAGGTCTTCGGGGTTTAGACCTGATTTTCAGTGTTATCTTGCTCAGAAAATCACTATTACGCAGCTTTTTTGGGATTTTTGGGTCATTTTCCTCCTATTTATTACTTGTAAAAAATTTCTCGTTTTTCTTGTATTTTTCCCCCCATTAGGTCTATTTTTTTAGGTAAAATCAGATTTCTTTAAACAAAAAAATTCATAAAATAAATTAAGTTATTCTTCGTGATCGTCCTCTTCAGAATCCTCTTTTTCATCGTCATCGCCATCCTTCGAACTTTGCCCATCACTTTTTCCCTCGATGAACTTCTCGAATTCTTTCCTTCTACGTTCCTCATCCTCCTCGGTTTCCTGCAAAATTTTTGAAATTTTTAATTTCCTTCAAAATAAAGGTGGCCTAACTTTTGCAAGTTTGGTTTTCTAGGCCTCCACTTCAGAATGACCTTGAAAACACACCCGGGTCATGCTAGAGCATTTTTAAGCCATTTTGAAGTGGTTGCCTAGAAAACCAAAAGTTGCAAAAGTTAGGCCAGTCACTTTTTTCTGAACTTTATAGTCTTTTTTTTTTGGAAAAATTGAAAGTTTCTGGAATTTTCAGAATTTTTGAATATCTGAAAACCAAAATTTTGAATTGCTAGAAATTTTCAAAAATTCCTAATTTTTCTAATTTTGCAAATTTTGCAAAATTTTCGAATTTCTGATTTTTTCGAAACTTCAGAATTTTTCAAAAATTATAAAAATGTTTAGATTTTTTAAAATTTCAAAAAATCCTAAATTTTCAAAATTTCTAATTTCCCAAATATTTCCCCACAGGTCCCAATGATTGCACCACCGGAAGTTGGCCTAAAACCCGAAAACACCGAATTCGGCAAGAATGATCCTGGGCCATCGGCAGGCGGTCAACAGACCTCAATGGAGCCAGTCAAATCGGCCGAGGGTAATGGACAACCAAAGAAAAAGACGAAAAAGAAGGTAAAATTTTGGCTTAAAATAGCCAAAATTCGTTGAAAATGGGCCTTAAACTGCCTAAAAATCGCTTAAAATGAGCCTAAAATAGGCTAGAAATCGTTGAAATCGGCCTAAATTAGCCTAATAGTCGCTTGAAGCGGGCCTAAAATAGCCTGAAGTTGTCTAAAATCGGCCTAGAAATGGCTTAAAATAGTCTTAAACTAGCCTTAAAATCGGCCTAAAATAGTATAAAATAGCGTAAAAATAGCTTAAAATAGACCTAAAATGACCTAAAAATTGTTTGAAATCGCTGAAATTCCAATTTTTCGAATTTTCAAAAAAATTGACTTTGGCACTTTTTTTGAGTCATTTTTGACCCAAACAAAATGTTAATTTTTTGGAAATTAGAAAATAGCGTAAAATAGCCAAAAATCGCTAAAAATAGTCTTAAAATCGGTCTGAAATGGTCTAAAATAGCCTAAAAATAGGCCTAAAATCGTATGAAATCACTTGGAATGACTCAAAATTCGAATATAAATAACTTGAAATAGCCTAAAAATCGCTAAAAACGTGCTAAGTAGCCTAAAATCGCTAAAAATGGGCCTAAAACAGGCCTGAAATGGTCTAAAATGGCTTAAAATCGTTTAAAATGGGCCTAACATAGCCCAAAAATCGCTTGAAATCGCCTTAAAATCGCTAGCAATGGGCATAAAATCGTCGTAAATTGCCTAAAACAGCCTATAATTTATTAAAATGAGCCTAAAACAGCCTAAAATTGCTTAAAATAGTTTAAAATGGACCTTAAACTGCCAATAATCGCTTAAATTGGGCTTAAAATAGCCTAAAAATCGCTAAAAACAAGCTAAAATCGCTTAAATTGGGCCTAAAATAGCCTAAAATAGCTTAAAATTGGCTTAGCATGGCCTAGAAACCACTAGAAATCGCTGAAATTCCAATTTTTTCAAATTTTCGAATTTTCAAAAAAATTGATTTTAACATGATTTTGCTGAAAAAGTGATATTTCTAGGTCCAAATTTTGCAAATTTTTCGAATTTTTTAGTTTTAATTTTCAGAAATCCAAATCAAAAGGAGCCAAGGGAAAGAATCGATCGGTGTCGGAAGACGAGGGATGACGATACTTGTATAATTACTATTTTTTAATTGATAGAAAATGAAGAATATGATTTTTATCAATTTTTTTTCTTGCCTAAAAATGACTTAAAATGGCCTAAAAATGGCTTAAAATCACCGGTTTTTCAGCAAACGTGCTCTATTGAAAAAGCGCGCGAAGCAGGAACTTATTGAATTTTTGAAAAAAAAAACTCTTGAATATGGGTTAAAATCGACTGGAAATGAGTTTAATTCAAAGTCTAGAGTGGCCTAACAATGAAAAAAAAAAGAATTTTTCAAAAAAAAAAAATTTTTTTTAATTTTCTAAAAATTCAGAATTTTTGGGCTAAAATAGGCCGAAAATAGATTAAAAATAGGCCTAAACTAGGTCTAAATCCATGGAAAAGTGAAAAAAAAGACGAATTTTATCAAAAAATTGAACAAAAAGTGCATTTCTCTCTGTCGTTCCGTTGTCTGCGTCTCCACACTCTCTCGCTCTCTCCCACTTTCTCTGCGTCTCTCGGCGCCTACCACACACTGTTTGATGAGCTCTATTTCGGAGCAGTTGTCAATGAATGATAAATGGAGAAATGGAGAAGGATCGAGAATAGGGTTTTAGGAGGAAAAATACATTTTTGAAGAAATCGAATTTTTGAATTTTAGAAAAATTTGAAAAAATTCCAAAAACTTAAAAATTTCATCTTAAAAGCATCATTTTCAGCAATTTAAATAAATTTTACAGCAACAAATCACTGAAAGAACTACGAAAACTGTGTGAATTAAGCCAAAACCCAGTCAAAGTGTAAAATTGCCCAAAATCCAGTTTTCCTGATTTTCCTGAAATTTTTACACTTTTCTAATAGCTTTAATATGCACTTTTTCATCAAATTTACACTAAAAAACTCCGAAAATCCCTTAAAACCCCAAAAAAATGCGAAAAACCTGCAAAAAAATTTCAAAAAACCTCTGATAAATGCAAGCGCGCTCCGCTGGACTCGAAAATTTCGAAAAAAAATTATTTATTTTTCTTTTTTTTTCGAAATTCAGTCTTCTTCTGTAGTTTTTCGACAGAAAAATCGCGTTTTTAGGTTAAAAAACTTCAAAAATTTCCAATTTTCCAGCTAAAAATCCCACAAAAATGTCCGATTTCGTGCCGGAAACCGAGGAAAATGAGGAGGAAACAAAACCAGAGCCAAACAAGCCAGTTGTGGTAGATCAAAGTGGGTTTTAACCTCATAAAAATGAATCTTCGAGCTAAAATTTCAGATTTCGCGCGCCGCTTTTTGAACAATAAATGGTATGGGAAGTATGGAGAGGATGGCGCGCTTTTGGAGCATTTAAACGATGATTGGGTGCCTGTGGCGGAGGATGAGCAAGAGTTTTTGAGCCAATTATGGTTCGAGCAGGAGGAGCAGGAGAAAAATGTAAAATTTGAATTTTTTGAAAATTTCGAATTCCCGCCAAAATTTGAATTTTCAGCTAAAAACGAATTTTCAGGCTCACAAACACTACGATTGGGACGAGGAGAAGAAGGAGTGGGTGCCGAAACCGACGAGTTCTGAAGAGGTCAACGAGGACTTTATAGCAGAATATCAGGCGAATTACGGTGTTCAATATGATGATATCTACAGTAAGCATGTCCTAAAATTGAAAAATCCGGCAAAAATCTATGTTTTAGAGCCGAAAAAACATCAATTTTAGCGTTAAAAATAGACTGAAATGTGGTGACTTTCAGATCGAAATTTGGGGATTTTTAGCACCAAAAATATGGATTTTTCGCTGTAAAATTCTGAGATTTCGGGCCCAAATTTAGCATTTTTCGCACTAAAAATATAGATTTTGACCAGCAAGTTCTGATTTTTCGACTCTGATAAACACAAATTTCGACCTGAAAATGACAATTTTGGACATAAAAATCTGGAATTTCGACTATAAAAAACCTTATATTTTGACCTAAATAGTTAAAAATTGGAGCCAAATCCCCGAACTTGGGTTCAAAAATACCAAAAATTTTGGTGTAAAAAACCAGAATTTTAGTTCTAAACATCACAAAATTAGACCTAAAAACTCATATTTTTGAAGGCAAAAATTTGAAATTTTACGCCTAAAACTCCATATTTTAATGCTTAAAATCGAAAATGTTGACCTCAAAATATGGAATTTCGACTTTCATATTCACAAATTCCAAGTCTGAAAATGACGAATTTGTGTCCAAAATTCTGGAATTTCGACTCAAAAAATAACAAATTTCGAGTCTCGAAATCCTAAATTCAGACCTGAAAATCACAAATTTGGACCTAGAAATCTGGAAATTTGACTTAAAAAATCACAAATTTTGACCTAAAAATTGGGATTTTTAGATTTAAATTTTCAGATGTCTAGGTTCAAAATTGGTGACTTTCAGATCGAAATTTGGTATTTTTAGCTACAAAATATGGATTTTTTGAGTTCAAATTTGCTATATTTTTTCTCCAAAAATGTGGATTTTTCAATAAAAAATTCTGAGATTTCGGGCCCAAATTTAGCATTTTTGCACTAAAAATATAGATTTTGCCCTAGCAAATTCTGTTTTTTCGAGTTCAAAAGTCGAAAAATTCGGATTTGTATGTCCAAATTTGTCATTTTAAAATTTCGACTCTAAAATTCCATAATTTCAGTGTAAAAACGAGAAATTTGAACCTACAAATCAGAATTTGTTGGTCAAAATTTTTAGTGCAATAAATGTTAAATTTAGGTCCGAAATCCCATAATTTTTTTTATCGAAAAATCCACATTTTTGGTGCTAAAAACCACAAATTTCGATCTAAAAGTCACCTATTTTCACCTTAAAAATCCCAATTCTTAGATCAGAAAATCACCACATATCAGTCTATTTTTAACATGAAAGTCTACGATTTCTAATGTCAAAATTTCAGCATTTTTAGCACCGAATTACGGATGTTCAGAGCCGAAATTTCCAGATTTTTGACCAAAAAAAAACCGCCAAAAAACCCGAAAATTTTCAGAAAAAATGGACGAAGAGCTGCACGAGAAAGCGGCAAAAGCGCAAAAAGAGGTCGAGGAGAAAAAGGAGCAAAAGAAGCGAAAAAAGCAAGGATTGCCAACGGAAGAAGCGAAAAAAGAGGGTTGGATCGATTTGGGTGATAAGGTTCATGCGGTTTATGTCTCGAATTTACCATCCAATATTACCGATGATGAGTTCCAAGGTTAGGCATTTTTAGGCAAAAAAAAGAGAAGATTTTCTGAGAAAAACAGGCTTTTTTGTCATCTTGAAGTAATGGCCTAACTTTTGCAAATTTGGTTTCCTAGGCCACCACTTCAAAATGGCCTGGAAATGACCTACCATGACCCTGGTGTGTTTCCTAGGTCATCTTGAAGTAATGGCCTAACTTTTCAATTTNTGATTCCCGTTAAAAATTTTCAATTTTGATAGATTTCAAAATCGATTTATTTCCTATGGGGGGGGTGATTTTCGAACTAAATTTCAGAGATTTTTTCAGTCAGAAAATCCAAATTTTAGAGCAGAAATTCCAGATTTTTTAATAAAAATTTCAAATTTCAATCTAAAATTCCAAAATTTTCACTCAAAATCCCAGATTTTTAGTCCAAAATTCCAGATTTTTCAGATTTTTTCAGTCGAAAATTTCAGAGTTTTCAGTCAAAAATCCGAGATTTTTAGTCAATTTCTATATTTTTCAGTAACAAAAGTCCAGATTTTTCAGATTTTTTCAGTTAAAAAATCCACAATTTCAGCCAAAAATTCCAGATTTTTCAGTCAAAAATATTCCAGATTTCAGCCTAAAACTTCAAATTGTTAAAGCTTAAATTTCAGACTTTTTAGTCAAAATTCCAGATTTTTAGATTATTTCTGTCGAAAAATCCACATTTTCAGCCAAAAAAATCCACAATTTTCCGTCAAAATTTCAGATTTTTCAGTGAAAATTTTAAGATTTTTTAATATAAAAATTACAAATTTCAGCCTAAAATTTCAGATTTTTCAGTCAAAAATTCCAGATTTTTAGATTATTTCTTCGAAAAATCCACATTTTCAGCCAAAAAAATCCACAATTTTCCGTCAAAATTGCAGATTTTTCTGTCGAAAATTTCAGGTTTTTCAGCCGAAAATTCCAGATTTCAGCTTAAAATTCCAGATTTTTCAGTGAAAAATTTAAGATTTTTAAAATAAAAATTACAAATTTCAGCCTAAAATATCGGGATTTTTCAGTCAAATATTCCAGATTTCAGCCTAAATCTTCAAATTTATAAACGCTTCAGACTTTTTAGTCGAAAATTCCAAAATTTCAAGCTAAAATTGCAGATTTTTCACTCAAAAAATCCATAGTTTTCGTCAAAATTGCAGATTTTTGCATCAAAAATTCCAAAATTTCCGAAATTTCCAAAATCCAAAAAAAAAAAGAACGCCCACTTATTCTGCTGTTCCATATATCTCTTTTTCTGTGTGGCCGTCAACTTTTTCCGCTTTCTCGACGGATCGAAATCTCCTTTCATCTCGAAATGCGCTTCTTCCACTTTTACCTCTTTTCCGAGAAGCATCGATCCATCGAGGATGTTACAAGCCAGTTCAACCGATTCTTTCTGCAAAAATAGGATTTTTTGCCTTTTTTCTGGATGAAAATTGCTCAAAAGCGATGTTTAATTGCCTAAAAACCCTCTAAAATTGTCATTTTTACACCGAAAAGGAATTTTGGGCTTTTTAAAGCGATTTTTCGGTTCAAAATTGTCTTTTCACTATTTTGGGGGCGAAAATTATCTAAAATTCTGACGCGTTTCGCCTTAAAATGAGCAATTTCAAAAGCTTTTTGATCCCAAAACATCCGTTTTCACCTTAATATAACAGCACCGCCCATCGCCTTTCAGCTCTCCATGCTCATCTCGATACAGTTTACATTTTGGCTTGTTTGTCCGGATGTCCGGCTGGATTACTCCACATTTTGACATGAATTCTGGAAATAGGAAAAAATTGAGGAGAAAACTGCCATTTTGAAGTAGTGGCCTAACTTTTGCAAGTTTGGTTTTCTAGGCCACCACGTTAAAATGACCTAAAAATGCTCTAGCATGACCCGGGTGTGTTTTCTAGGTCATTTTGAAGTGGTGGCCTAGGAAACCAAATTTGCAAAAGTTAGGCCACTACTTCAAAATGGCAGTTTTCTCCTCAATTTTTTCCTATTTCCAGAA